TTGCCGCTGGTAGGCGGAGGGTCTGTTTTCTCGTGAATTTCATTCGTCTGGGAGTCTACACGCTTCATAACCCCTCGTGTAATTACCAAAACTCAAACAACCCCGCGAACGCTTCAATATTGTGGGGGTGGGGAAAAGACAGATTTCCTGGGGTATTGACCTCAAATGATGATGGACCTGCGCATGTCTGTTGTATTCATAGACACACTACTACTATTACCCAGGTACTACTGCGTCTATTCCAGCTCAAGCTGATCTTGTTCATAAACACAAACTCAATCAAGCATCACAAATACACTGGAATCTTCCGATTTGAAGCAATGCTTGTTACTTTGGCCGTCGCACCTTTCTATGTCGTTCTTCTGGTAGCCATTACATCGTATTGGATCATCTGGACTGTGTACTCGCGCTTCTTTCATCCTTTATCGAAATACCCTGGTCCGTTTCTCGCCTCGATATCGCGGACATGGATTGTATTGCAAGTCGCTGGAGCCCACGCAGAGGAAACACAGAGAGAGTTACATGCCAGATACGGTACCAACACCGCGCGATGCAGTCTGGTATTCTTCTGCTAACAGTCCAAGGTCCGATCATCCGCATTGCACCAAACGAGGTCGCTATCGCTGATCCCACTGCAATCAAGACCATCTACTCTATCTCTTCCAGCTTCACAAAGGTGTGTAGTGTTTACATGTTGGGTCATGAACCATGATATTGAAAAGCCTCAACAACTAATCCAATTCTCCAGACTGACTTTTACCCGTTATTCCGTCCTTCCTTTGCCCGATACCCCGATCTCTTTACCAATCTGGATGAGAAATCTCACGCTAGCCGGCGTAAGATCGTGAACAATCTATATTCCATGTCCAACATTGTCCGCTCGGAGGCGAATATCGACAATTGTACCGAGACTCTCATGGAGAAATTCCATGAGATCGCGGTGAAGGGAGATGCCATCGATGTATCCACGTGGGTACAGTGGTATGTTTCCTCCCAACACTATGTATCCACATACATACAGCATCCAATGCGCGTACTTGTCATACTCACATGTTCCAGGTACGCATTTGACGTTATAGGCGAACTCTTCTTCAGTCGCATGTTCGGTTTCATGGCGCAAGCCGCTGACTATCGCGGCTACATTACGGCCCTTGACTGCCTCCTCCCGATGCTGACAACAGCGTGCGTCATGCCCTCCTATATCCGGCCGTTTTTCTTGACAGGCGGTGCGATCTTCCCGCGCATTCTCAAAGCCCTCATGAGCCTCAAGAATGTTGAAACAGCAGCGAAGGATGCTGTCGCTGAGCGATCCGCACTAATGAAGAAGGGAGAGGCTGACGGAAAGGACGACATTTTGAACAGTCTGTTTGAAGTCATGGAGACTAAAGGCGAGAAGGTTGATTTTGGCCTCACTGAGATCACAGTAGAGGTCTACGTTGCGCTGTAAGTCTCATAGTACCTGAGCATCTCGTCGGAAACAAGGCTGTTGTACTGACCTTTCTGTTGCTTCTAGTTTCGCAGGCTCAGACACCACCGCGGCAGCCATCTCGTCTATCCTATATCACCTCATGCGCTCGCCTAGCGCGTACGAGAAATTGACACTCGAGATCGACAACGCCTCAGCATCTGGCCAGCTCTCTTATCCGCTCATCAGATACAATGAAGCTATCAAGCTGCCATATCTGGACGCATGCTGCAAGGAAGCGATGCGTCTTCACCCAAGCGTTGCTTTGACAGTGCCACGCAATGTTCCGGCTGGTGGCTGCCAAATATCTGGGGAGTTCTTTCCTGCAGGAACAAGGGTAGGCATCAACGCCGCCGTGATACACCGTGATCAAAACATCTTTGGGCATGACGCGGATGACTTCGTTCCTGAGCGATGGCTCCGTGCAGACACCACGATTATGGATAGGCATATGTTCCAATTTGGCGGAGGAGCCCGGACTTGTGTGGGGAAGAATGTACGTATCTCCAGGCCCCACTTTCAAGTGCTACCACTGATACTCCTGCGAAGATCTCCCTTTGTGAAATGTACAGAATCGTACCACAAATTCTCCGTACTTACCATCTCTCACTCGTCGATGGTGCGCAGGATTGGGAGACACATAATTATTGGTTCCACAAAACGAGTGGTGTGAATACGAAAGTGCAAGTACGCAACGTGGATGAGGTTATATCCAAGATGCAAGGGTAGGAACCAAAGGTCCATGGTGGATTTTGATTCGAGAAGACGGTCACGTGAGTCCTGTGGGTCCTTAAATACTTTCAATGATCCCATGTGCTGTTCAAATCTCCTTCCAAAGTAAATTTCATGTTTCGATCACTCTACTTGTACGCTGTCAGCCTCTAGCCAACTGTGCTGTATTGTGGTCTTTCTTGAGCAACGTCAAGGTCTCCCACTTCACCCACACCAAGTGACAAACTTCTCGACAACAAACTCGTCTAGTCCCCACTGGCCGTTCTGCCGCCCAAATCCACTGCCTTTAACGCCACCTTGACTTCCAGTCGGCGACGTGTAGACTGAGATGCTATTGGCATGAACTTGGCCGTATTCCAGTTCCCGCGACATCTTCATGAACCGAGCCATATCGCGCGTCCAGACCGTAGCGTTGAGACCATATGCTGAGCGATTCGCCAACGCGATAGCTTCTTCATCTGAAGAAACGACGTAAAGCGAAGCGGAAGGGCCGAACGTCTCTTCGTCCAGGATACGAGATGAAGGCGAGGGATTGACGATGATCGTAGGTTTGAGTGCAAGCCTACCCTCAGAAGAAGTAGACCCCACCCCACCAACAAGCACCTCATCGCCCTTCTCCTGCGCATCCCTTATAACATCCTCAGCATGCCGCGCAATAACCTCCGACACCGCCGACCCAGCCGGCCCCTCCATCCCTTTCATAGCCTCCACAAGCAACGTCTTGAACCTCTCCGCCACCGCCTCCATCACAATAATCCTCTCAGTACTAAAGCAAATCTGCCCATGGTTCAATACAGCACCCATCCCGCACTGCTTTGCCGCCTCCTCCAAGTCCGCATCCTCCAGCACAATCGCCGGGCACTTCCCACCTAGTTCCATCAACACGGGCTTGAGATACTTTGCCGCGATGCCCATGATCTTCTTCCCCACCTCCGCACTGCCGATGAATTCAATCTTGCGAATCGCGTCATGCGCTATCAGCGCCTCTGCCACTTCAGCCGCATCTTCTCGCCCACATTGCACCTGGTTCAACACGCCACCAGGACACCCACTCTCGGCGAAAGCTTGCGTGATGAGTCCGTGGGTTTGGGGACACAGTTCACTCGCTTTGAAGACTACGGTGCAGCCTACGGCTATGGCACTTGCTATTCCTCTCGTTGCTAACACGAGTGCGGCATTCCAAGGTGCGATGCATAAGACCGGTCCGATGGGTTCTTTAAACACGAAACCCTGTGTGTTGGGTTTCTCGGTTGGGGGGACAACGCCTGTTACGCTGCTTATCTGCGCAGCGATTTCGTTAAGGTACGAGATGGAGAGGTTTACATTAGTACGCGCCCAGGCTTCTGTGCAGGAGGTTTCGGCGATCTGCGCGGCGATGAGCGTAGAGGCATGGTCGGCGTAGTGGGTGGCTACGCTTTGGAGGAGGTTGCGACGGGTTGTGTGGGAGGTGCAGCGCCAGGATTTGAAAGCGGAGAAGGAGGATGCGGCGGCTTCGGTGGCTTCGGTGGTGGAGGCGGAGCAGGCGTGGTGGATGGTTTTGGAGGTGCTGGCTTGGGTCACGGGGATGGTGGTTTGGGTGTGGATGGGTTTGTTGTCGATCCAGAGGGGGACTGTGGACTCGGTGTTTGAGGACATCGTGAATGGATCCCAACACTTCAAACTTCACTGCTCTTGGGTTCCCTAGTAATTGGATATGTAGAAGATATATTGGGGTATGCCCGCGGGAATGCATCTCACGGGCGTATTGGCATCATCAATCAGTGCAAGGCGAACATGACGTCATCGCGAGGTCGCGTCGATCCTTCCAAGGTTCTTCGGCATATGTCGCAGCACTGCGTACCTGACACACATTGCATCGTTTCGAATGTCGATTTGGCCGCTCACGCGAGATGCGACACTCGGAATACGTAGCGATGGCTGTTTGCTGTACTGTATGGACGATCTCGTGCAAAGAGCGGCTGCGGCTACGGGTGGCTGGTAGGCTGGCAGCCGCTCGTCACGCGCACCGGCACTGTAGCGCGTAGATTCCCCGCCTTCCGCACCTTCCCGAGGTCCCCTCCCTTTGGCGTTCAAGAATGCGTTCAAATGCAAGGAGCGCTATCACTTTTCTGCAGTACCCACTCAAACCCTGCAGCGTCACCATGGAAAGCACAAAGAGGTCTAGCGTCTGCATCTTTTGCTTCCGTAGATTTGCCAGAAGGTACGCTCCTCCCTCGACAGAGTGGACATAAAACCGCCGATCCGTGGCAACCGATTCCTAACTTATGAACCCAGCGATGCATTGAAACGACACTGGAACTCGTGTGGTGTTCGAAGGGCTCGCAACCTTTCCATTCCGACGGTTAAGACCAGAGCAAGAGGACGCAAAATCCGTGCCTGCGACCAATGCCGTCAGTTGAAGAGAGCTTGTACTTCCTCACAACCATGCGCGCCATGTGCTTCACGAAATCAAGTCTGCAAGTATAGTCGACCGCAAGACAGTAGACTTGATCAGGCAGACGACGCTAATTCCTCCATCGATGATATCGATGCGTTCAACACCGAGACTAACGGCACAGTGGAGTGCCGTGTCCGTGACGACCTAGTAGCATCTCGCGGCGACATTGACAGCGAGTTCGATATGCACGTATATGAGGCAGTATTCCAGACTTTGGACGACACTGACGATCATTCGGACTCCCCCATGGCCGACTTCGATCATGAGATAGGATCAACGCTACTATCTTCCCAGCTCAATCCAGATTCTCGCATTCAACTTGGCTCCTGGACTAGCTCTAGTTCACTGTTAATTGAACACGGAATCATGGCCCCATTTTGCCAACGCCCAACACAACTCAACATCAACGTGTTGATCCAGTTCCCCTTCCTCGACAATTTCACCAAGGCGACTGGATTTGTCGGATCATTTGGGTGTGGCACCAAGCAGCAGAGACTCTCCATCACATCAGACCCACTCAAGGCGAACCCGGGTGAGAATCTTTCAACTCTGAGAGAAGGAATATCGGATGCCGCGACGCACTGGATTGACATTACCCGAAATGCACTGGTGCAAAACAGTGAGAACATAGCTGATCCAGTTGTGTTACTGCCCGTCACATACAAGATCGTCCATCAAATCCGAGAGACAGCGACAAATCGCCATCACCACGGCCCCGCTGATATCGCCTGGTCACCTCTCGTGGAAGCGCTATGTTACGCATTCTTCAATCCGACAAATCTACAAAGATTCCTGGCACTCTTCTGGTCTTGCTGGTATCCTAACTGGCCCACAATACATGCGCCGACTTTCAAAATGAAAGAGAAGTCACCGGAGTTGATTGCTGTAATGGCTCTTGTTGGTGCCTGCTTGTCGCCAGAAGAGCGCGATCATGCCTCAGCCCAGGTCTGGTTGGACTTAGTTGAAGACCTCGTTTTCAGTGATGATGCTTTCCATGATCATGACATTTCGAACGCATGGCGAGATACAACCACTACCCAACGTCGGAGCACACATTTGCAGGTTCTCCAAGCTGCTTACTGTGTCTGTCTGTATCAAACGTGGGAGGGAAGTAAGCGGAGTAAAAAACGCGTTCTGCAGCAACGGTTCAATGACCTCGTTCATGTCAGTGTTTCCGATTAATGATCGACGACCTACTGATGATGATTTAGCTAGCACGATATATAGGACTAGATCAAGCATCACTAAAGCGAGTCGATACATCCCATCCAGCTGATTTCGACTGGGAGGAGTATATTCTCCGGGAGTCACTCATTCGGTATAGGTTGACCTAGCACATAACGTTCTAATGCTGACTGGGTTTGATAGCATCTGTTCATATATCTGCAATATCGACGCAAGCTACGCCCTGTTCTTCCGCCATGTACCCCGCATGGCTCTGTCCGAATTGGTTATCGAGATGTCGTCCCCAGAATCCTGTTTTCAAGCTTCTTCAAAAGAAGAGTGCTTCATCGAACTTAAGGTCTGGCGCAAAAGAGTGGGTATCGATGCGACAAACCTCACCATCTTGTCCGCCGTCAACGCACTGTGTGATAACGCGATCATGGCAAAGCCAACTATCCATCGCGCCTTTGCTCACCTGAGCGTTCTCAACATGTTCACCATCATCCACGCACTGTATTTGCAGGTATACGGCCTTGAGACCTGCGCAGTCACTGCGCTAGATATGGTACGAATGGCGCCGATCACCAATGGATTGCGGAATTGGCAGCAATCATGGCCGTCGGAAATTAGAGATGCGGAGTTGGTGGATCTCTTGGGGAGGGAAAGTGATTCGTCGACAATGTGGCAGCGCATTGGGTTTATGAGATACGCACCTGAATACTGGCTGATCGCATATTCGACACTGAAGAAGATATACACGTGGAATGATAACCGAAGCAGTCAGATCTCGGAGACCGCTGGTAGTGTTGGGTCTGGCGATATGATCGAGGCACGAAGGCTGATCACCGAGTTGAGGAGTGGAACCATTGTTTCGATCATGGATAGCGACACGCATTCAGGAATACGGCAAGGTTAATTCAAGTGTTTTATTGTTTCAGGTGATGACCACGTCGTACTCTCACATACGGAAAAGTCCAACACACCCCAAGTATTAGTACCAATAGGCAGATTATTATTTCCTTCCATCCTTCCCCCTCAATCCAGAACGTGGACAAACACCAATGGCCCTTACCAAGTAAAAGTCATCAACTGGGGGTTGAGCACAATTGGCAACAAAAAGTGGAAGACAACCACGGTGCCCATAGGCCAAACGGCAATGAGCTCCTTGATCCTCCAGTCCTCCTGCAGCGCAAAAGCCATGGTAATCATGATCGCAGTCATGCCAATGCAGAACATGAAGCTCCACTTGAACTTCCTCAGCACCCTGCTGATGGCGACGAAGAAACTGACTTGTTCGGTTTCCTTGGAAGTGGAACCCCACTCAAGAGGCCAGCTGACGAAATGCGCGAGGAGAGCTTGCGAGACGTGTAGAGAGATGCCGCCGAGGAAGATGCTGAGAAGAGGGATCCATTTGATGTTTGTCCAGAGGCCGCCGAAAAAGGAACCCTCGCCGATGCGGTAGCGGAGGACGGCGAGAGCGATGTTACCGAGGACACTGAAGACGATGATGATGGCAAAGTAGACTGATGAATGTTAGTGATGCGCGAGACGAACAATGACGTGATGCTTACCGCGGAAGGAGTTGATGTAGTAATGGTCTAGCCATCCGTTGAAGAACCCAATCAAGAAGTAATTGAGCATGGTGAGAGCCCACGAGCAGCCGAGAGCGTAGTAGGTACCGATGTAAGCCATGATGGTGACTTTAGATGCGAGAGGCATGTTGGAACTGATATCATCGAATTAGTTGACGGACAGATAAGACGACACGATCTCTGAAGATCTACTTACAAGATGAAGGTGCGGAAGAGCTTGGTGAAAGGACCTCGGGTGAACCAGTAGATCAAAGGGTTGAAGATGAGTTCGTTGCAGCCATATGCATACCTAGAGATTGTGAGTTAGCAGCCGTAAGAGAGAGACGTTGGAAAGGGCAAGCATACTTCTCCCAACGGGCAAGCTCATCGTATACGGTAAGCGATACACCCTCCTTGAAGCCATCACCCTGGTATGAGGCCAATCGAATGATGTAACCAGCACTCTGCAGCCGCAGACTCATATCAAAGTCCTCAGACACCGTCTCCTCGGACCAGAATTTGTCGAACGTGTGGCCATCTTCTGTTACCTCGTAAGCCACCTTCTGAAGTGCCTCCCATCTCAGGATAGCGTTGTGGCCGACAAAAGGCGCGACGTCCCCACCAGCGACAGCAAATCGGATCATGGTGTAGATCATGTTGGTGAAGAAAGTGATGCCGTTTTCGAAGAAGCTGTTGGTGACGTTCATGACTCCGGAAGAGTACTGTAGGATGGCCACTTCCTGACCCTGCTCCATTTCGCTGACGGCCTCGAGCAGGCAGTCCTTAGGCACACGGGTGTCGGAATCGACGAGGAGAATGTGGTCGCCAATGCGGATGTTACCATCAACCCAAGCCCTGCCCTCGTGTTCAGCCCTGACAGATTCCAAGACTTCCCTGTAGAGGTCAGTCTCGTCCAGCTGGCTCCAGTTCTCTCCACGTTCATGTTGTGCCATAACCTCTTCAACCCTGCAGCTGATTCTTAGGGCGTAATTCATGTTGGATGCCTTCTTGAATTTTCCGGGGCGGACAAAGACGAACGGATCCGGTCCGTGCTCGCCCGTGGGATCATGCCTTGGGCGCGCCACCCAGCCAATGCCATGCTCGTCGTAAAATTCTTGGCGCTCCCTGGATTCCTCGGCTCCGAGAACCTGCACTGGGAAACGTCAGTGGGGCTTACATTACGCACTGGCGCAGCACTTACTTCCGTCGTCGTTGACGAAGATATTGGCACTTCCTCCCTGAAGCTCGTAGGTAGAGATGGCTTGCTTGAGCGACCGAATGGTGGGCTCAATGACACTGCGTAAACCCTCCTTGTAAACGGGCATCTGGATGGTTACATGTGGAAGCGGGCCGTTAAAGGTATCACAGTTGAGGCGCCTGGGGGCTTTGCCGGAGTAGTAGCGGCTGTTCTCTTTCATCTGATCGGTGGGGCCAATGATTTGGGCAAAGTTACCAACCAGCGCTTGGAAGAAGAACTAGTAAAGTCAGAAGCGAAATCATAGAGTGAGACATATGGCTTACCAATGATAGCCAGACTTGCGCGGGCAAGCAAATGAGGAAGAGCAGACGAAGCCAGTGCTTTGGGGCTTGGAACTCTTCGATCGCGATCTGCCTGTACCCGGATCCGATCGCTACCGTCAGGAGAAGAATGGACATTCCGCAGTAGGCAGCTTGCCACATCTTCATGTCTCGGGCCTCCTCACCATTGGCTTCTCTAGAATCGCGCGAGTCGTCGTAATCTTCCATGTCATTTGCGGGGTTCTTCCCTGACTTCTCCAACTCCAAGTCGTGCGCATCATAGCCGTATTCAGCTCCACACATCATCCTCATCATACAATTGATGATGAACTCAGCGCGTTCGAGCGTCAACTTTGGGTCATCCTGCCACACTACCAGCATGCCTCGTGAGGCGATGAAAGCAGCGGACTGACCCCTCTGACAGTGTGGCAAAGCTTCAAAATCGGGAACGATTTGCAAGCGAAGGCCGCTCTGAATTTGCACATACTGGGTATTGCATCGCTCAAGAATGTACTGGATGGCCCTGGTGTTGACGGTCATAGCGCACTGCAAAGTATTAGTGACAATGCCGTGCGGGTGTTTGGCGTTGTTAGACTCACTCGGACGTTCAACTCGGTAACAGCTTCAATGAGACCTGTACCGTCGGTACGAAGCGCATCGGGAGCGCAGGAATAGCGTCCCCTTGACTTCTTCATGAAGACACCTTCGCCAGCTGATCCAAAGGTCCATACCCGCTCCTCCTGCTTGGTGTGGAGCCAGTTGGCCAGGAGCTCAGCCTTGACGTCGACAAGAGCATCTGTGCGCACGGTACTGTCGCTGCCGTGGATGCTGGGAGCCCCGCCGGAATGAGCGCTAGCTGGGCCAAGCTGCATAGGTGTGAAGCTAGCCGGTGACTCGTCGCCAGCTCGGGGTGTTGGCGCCAGAGGATTTTGGGGGGGAAGTTCCTCGCTCCCAGGAGTGTCGTTATGCGGTCGAGAGACATTGTCTCCTTTTCTGAAAATGCCGGGTAACCTCATTTCTGCGTCTTCTCATATGAAGCCAGGGTGGAGAAGGTTTGTGCGATGTGCGTCTGAACGACGAAGAACAAAGGTGCACACGGATGTTAGGTAACGACTGAGAAGACGGTAACACCAAGCGGGCAGCGAGGTGAAGAGATACTCAGCCTGATATTTAAAAAGTGCACACTTTTTCTAGGTGTACGTGCGGTGGGAGAAGTACCCACACTACTATAAGCGATTACCAGCAGCCACAACTACACGAGTTCAGTATGAAAACAGTGTAGTGTGGCGATAGGCAATTGGTACTGGTACGCCTAACCTGTATTGAAGTTGTCTTGGGTGAGCCATGCAGGATAAGGTGGACTTGGAGCTTCATGGTGCCACGGAACCCCAGATAAAAGTAGTCTTGTTGGGTCGTGGTGGAAATCGCGTCTGTGCTCTGTTACATGAGCGCTACCGCATGCTCTTTCTTGCCTCCACAGCCAGTAGATACAACACTCGGACATGTAACGAGGTTGCTCATGGAGATAAGATGCGCTATCATCAGTGACATTGGAACCGTACCAACTTGAGAGTGTTTGTAGCTTTGGGGCTGTTTTAGCCAATGG